AACGTTACCGCAATAAAATGTCACATTAGTTGGACTTGTGTCCTTTTACCTAACATGTCGTTGGTCACCTAGTAAATAGGTACCTGGGTGTTAGTAGACTGGTGTGGGTGGCATCCTGGGGGACAAAATTGAAAGATCACAATGGAAATAAGTCAGTCCTCGATGACGTACTGACTTTCTTGGTTTATCCTGAGTCGCTAACCCTCCGGGGATAAAAATCTGGGCCAAATCTTATTTTATCCCACACGGGTTTACCTGGAGTTTACCTGGAGAGAGTTTCGGGGGTCAACGCCCCCGCGGCCCGGTCTGTGACCAGGCCTCCTGGTGGATCAGCGCCTGATCAACCAGGCTGTTGCTGCTGGCTGCACGCAAACCAACGTACGAGCCACAGCCCGGCTGATCAGGAACTGACTTTAGGTGCTTGTCCAGTGCCAGCTTGAAGACTGCCAGGGGTCTGTTGGTAATCCCCCTTATATGTGCTGGGAGGCAGTTGAACAGTCTCGGGCCCCTGACACTTATTGTATGGTCTCTTAACGTGCTAGTGACACCCCTGCTTTTCATTGGGGGGATGGTGCATCGTCTGCCAAGTCTTTTGCTTTCGTAGTGAGTGATTTTCGTGTGCAGTTCGGTACTAGTCCCTCTAGGATTTTCCAGGTGTATATAATTATGTATCTCTCCCTCCTGCGTTCCAGGGAATACAGGTTTAGAAACCTCAAGCGCTCCCAGTAATTGAGGTGTTTTATCTCCGTTATGCGCGCCGTGAAAGTTCTCTGTACATTTTCTAGGTCGGCAATTTCACCTGCCTTGAAAGGTGCTGTTAGAGTGCAGCAATATTCCAGCCTAGATAGAACAAGTGACCTGAAGAGTGTCATCATGGGCTTGGCCTCCTAGTTTTGAAGGTTCTCATTATCCATCCTGTCATTTTTCTAGCAGATGCGATTGATACAATGTTATGGTCCTTGAAGGTGAGATCCTCCGACATAATCACTCCCAGGTCTTTGACGTTGGTGTTTCGCTCTATTTTGTGGCCAGAATTTGTTTTGTACTCTGATGAAGATTTAATTTCCTCATGTTTACCATATCTGAGTAATTGAAATTTTCTCATCGTTGAACTTCATATTGTTTTCTGCAGCCCACTGAAAGATTTGGTTGATGTCCGCCTGGAGCCTTGCAGTGTCTGCAATGGAAGACACTGTCATGCAGATTCGGGTGTCATCTGCAAAGGAAGACACGGTGCTGTGGCTGACATCCTTGTCTATGTCGGATATGAGGATGAGGAACAAGATGGGAGCTAGTACTGTGCCTTGTGGAACAGAGCTTTTCACCGTAGCTGCCTCGGACTTTACTCTGTTGACGACTACTCTCTGTGTTCTGTTAGTGAGGAAATTATAGATCCATCGACCGACTTTTCCTGTTATTCCTTTAGCGCGCATTTTGTGCGCTATTACGCCATGGTCACACTTGTCGAAGGCTTTTGCAAAGTCTGTATATATTACATCTGCATTCTTTTTCTTCTAGTGCATTTAGGACCTTGTCGTAGTGATCCAGTAGTTGAGACAGACAGGAGCGACCTGTTCTAAACCCATGTTGCCCTGGGTTGTGTAACTGATGGGTTTCTAGATGGTGGTGATCTTGCTTCTTAGGACCCTTTCAAAGATTTTTATGATATGGGATGTTAGTGCTATTGGTCTGTAGTTCTTTGCTGTTGCTTTACTGCCCCCTTTGTGGAGTGGGGCTATGTCTGTTGTTTTTAGTAACTGAGGGACGACCCCCGTGTCCATGCTCCCTCTCCATAGGATGGAAAAGGCTCGTGATAGGGGCTTCTTGCAGTTCTTGATGAACACAGAGTTCCATGAGTCTGGCCCTGGGGCAGAGTGCATGGCCATGTCATTTATCGCCTGTTCGAAGTCATTTGGCGTCAGGATAACATCGGATAGGCTTGTGTTAATCAAATTTTGTGGCTCTCTCATAAAAAATTCATTTTGATCTTCGACTCTCAGTCTGGTTAGCGGCTTGCTAAAAACTGAGTCATATTGGGACTTGAGTAGCTCACTCATTTCCTTGTTGTCATCTGTGTAGGACCCATCTTGTTTAAGTAGGGGCCCAATACTGGACGTTGTTCTCGATTTTGATTTGGCATAGGAGAAGAAATACTTTGGGTTTCTTTCGATTTCATTTATGGCTTTTAGTTCTTCCCGCGATTCCTGACTCCTAAAGGATTCTTTTAGCTTAAGTTCGATGCTTGCTATTTCTCTGACCAGTGTCTCCCTGCGCATTTCAGATATATTGACCTCTTTTAGCCGCTCTGTTATTCTTTTCCGTCGCCTGTAAAGGGAGCGCCTGTCTCTTTCTATTTTACATCTACTCCTCCTTTTTCTTAGAGGAATAAGCCTTGTGCATACATCGAGTGCCACCGAGTTAATCTGTTCTAGGCATAAGTTTGGGTCTGTGTTGCTTAGTATATCTTCCCAGCTTATATCGGTTAGGACTTGGTTTACTTGGTCCCACTTTATGTTTTTGTTATTGAAGTTGAATTTGGTGAATGCTCCCTCGTGACTAGTCTCATTTTGTCGGTCTGGGGCTCCACGCATACATGTCTGAACCTCAATTATGTTGTGATCTGAGTATATTGTTTTTGATATGGTGACATTTCTTATCAGATCATCATTGTTAGTGAAGATGAGGTCTAGTGTATTCTCCAGTCTAGTAGGCTCTATTATTTGCTGGTTTAAATTGAATTTTGTGCAGAGATTTAAAAGCTCGTGTGAGTGTGAGTTTTCATCAGAGCTGCCCCCTGGTGTTATTACTGCAACAATATTATTTGCTATATTCCTCCATTTTAGGTGCCTTAAGTTGAAATCCCCCAGGAGCAGGATGTTGGGTGCAGGAGCTGGAAGATTTTCCAGACAGTGGTCAATTTTTAAAAAGCTGTTCCTGGAATTGCTGGGATGTTGCATCCGGAGGCTTGTAGACTACCACAATGACTAGGTTTTTTTTTTGGGTTTTCGACCTTACTGCTAAAACTTCCACTACGTCATTTGAGGCATTAAGCATTCTGTGCAAACAAGTGACTCTCAATGTACAGGCCAACCCCCCCCTTTTGCCTGTTCACTCTGTCACATCTGTATAGGTTGTAACCTGGGATCCATATTTCGTTGTCCAAGTGATCCTTTATGTGGGTCTCAGTGAAAGCCGCGAACATTGCCTTTGCCTCTGCAAGCAGTCCACGGATGAAAGGTATTTTGTTGTTTGTTGCTGGCTTTAGACCCTGTATATTTGCAAAGAAGAATGTTATCGGACTGGTGGTATTGTTGGTACTGGGGGGGGATTTTTTTTCCGGCATTAGTATCTGTATCTGTTGGTTTGGAGTGGAGGCCATCGACTGTGGTTCCACTCCAGGAATGACTGGATTTGGTGTACGATTTCTGCCATTTCCTGCCAGTTTTTTTTCCTTCCTGGGTAAGACAGTGCTTGGGATATGGTAGGTAATCAGGGAAAATTAGAACCAATTCTGGGCCACTAGGCTTGCTAAAGGGTCACTCAATTCTTACTCTTTTGCTTCTACTAGTTACTGGGTTTGGGTTTGAAAAGGACCTGCCTAATATGGGCCAGTAGGCCTGCTGCAGTGTTCCTCCTCATGTTGTAGTGGTTCTGGCCTCCTCTGTCCTTATCAATATTATAAACTCCAGCTCCACATTCTTCCAGACTGTGGAGGTGATTATTATTATTATTATTATAATCAAAAAGCGCTAAACCACAAGGGCTATACAGCGCTGCACTGTGGAGGTGAGGTTATCTCTAGGCTGAGGGACCGACCACCCATAACTTCGTCAAGGTTGGTAGACTGATCACAGAACGGGTGGGACTTGAACCTATGGCAGGTGAGCCCTAAAACTCACGGGCCATGGATTCAAATCCCACCCCTTCCATGGTTTGCTTTCAATCATGTTATTAAGATTTCGCGAGTCTTAGTAAGTTTATTTAGACACAAGTACACATAAGTACAATTATAATACCTAGAAACATATATGTAAATTACCTAGAATAACTCCAAAAAAAGTCAAAAGTAACTTATTTCCACTGGGGTCTTGGTGGACTAATACATTTATATAGGTACAAATTACAAGTTGGGTTGGTCAAATGTTTTGTTAGTGGGATGAACTGTAAAGGACCTGCCTAGTATGGGCCAACAGGCCTGCTGCAGTGTTCCTCCTTTCTTATGTTCTTATGTTCTTAAGTTATGGCTGATTATATCACCTGCCTCGCATGGGCCAGTAGGCCTTCTGCAGTGTTCCTCCATTCTTATGTTCTTATTATCTTTACCTTTCCACTTCTGTAGATGAATGGTTCAGAGAACCGACACGTTGTTAAATTAGGCACATGTGCAACTCTTGGGTATCTTTACCGAGGAAACATTTCGCCACATAGTGGCTTCATCAGTCCATACAAAGGAGAAACTTGAAAGGACAGGAGGAGAATGAGGTAATTAGTCCCTCATTCTCCTCCTGTTCTTCAAGTTTCTCCTTTGTATGGACTGATGAAGCCACTATGTGGCGAAACGTTTCCTCAATAAAGATATTCAAGAGTGCGTGGAAAAAGACACTTATGTACAGTTCAGGACATTTATTAAAGGAAACGTTTCGCCACGAGTGGCTTCTTCAGTCCTTAGGACTGAAGAAGCCACTCTTGGCGAAACGTTTCCTTTAATAAATGTCCTGAACTGTACATAAGTGTCTTTTTCCACATCTTGTCGGTATCACCATACCATTTCCTCATACCCAAGAGTTGCACATGTGTCTAATTTTACAATTATTACAATAACTGAAAAAAGCCTTCTATGCAGGCGAAACATTTCAAGATTCCCAACTGTTGCACATTCATCTTGCCCATGTACTTGATGCCCAAGCAAATTACCCATCGGTAAAGAACCACAAACAACTTCATGATATAGTCACACCCATAATGAGTACCAGAATATTTTTTTGTGATATAAATCAGGACTATCATTGATCGGGGTCGTAGTAACGGGGTCGAGCGGCGGCCATCTTTGTTGTCATTGTGGCCACCATCAGCTGATAATCTCACTTGCTGTTGTAAATGGTTGATTTTCTCAGCCTTTGCTGGCCTTAACTCTCGGTGGGTTGTGTGAGGACATTACCACATCATTCCTTGCTGTTTTGAAAATTGTTTTGTGCTTGTTTTTAGCTTCATTTACGTGTTTTTTGGTGTATATGTGAGGGCGGGTGGTCATGGTAGAGTGATGTGCTGCCGTTGCTTATCTTGAATTTTGGTTTTGGACGGTATTTTGAGGGTTTTGCGAGCAGGATTGGTTTTTTTTCTATAATGGTTTTTGATGGTAGATAGATATTATGGGTATGCAGATGTTAGATATGACGTAGATTTATCCTTGAGTAGCTTAATGGGAAAAGTCATATTGGCCTTTTTTTTCCGTCTCATCCACCGTAATTTACACTTTTATAATTGTAGTTATATATATACCTGTACTTAAACTTACTAAAGTTACTAATGACCATTGTTGTAAACTCACTCTCTCTTGAATATTAATATAACTTAGTTTACGTTATTCCTGTTGTATCGCCTTTTATTGCAACTGATTTTTTCACACAGTTGAGTTATTTAAATGTTTTATCTTTTAATGTTATAATCATGAGTGTTTTTTTGCTGTAACTTACTGCTAGGCTTTAAATAATAAGATATTACTAAGACCCCACTTTGATTTTTTTGGGTTATCTTGGGGGGGCGGGGGACTTTACACTATGTATGATAATTGTACTTATGTGTACTTGTACCTAAATAAACTTACTTATTTACCAGGTGACTTGTTAACTTATTTACCAAGTAACTTGTTAACTTATTGACCAAGTAACTTGTTAACTTAATGACCAATTAACTTGTTAACTTATTGACCAAGTAACTTGTTAACTTATTTACCAAGTAACTTGTTAACTTATTTACCAAGTAACTTACTTGTTAACTTATTTACCAAGTAACTTGTTAACTTATTTACCAAGTAACTTGTTAACTTATTGACCAAGTAACTTGTTAACTTATTTACCAAGTAACTTACTTGTTTGTAGATGAATGGTTCAGAGAACCAGCATGTTGATAAATTAGACACATGTGCAACTCTTGGGTATCTTTATTCAGGAAACGTTTCGCCACACAGTGGCTTCATCAGTCAATGCAAAGGAGAATCTTGAAGAACAGGAGGAGAATGAGGTAATCAGTCCCTCAACCTTGAGTCGATGTGGTCAGTCCATCAATCTTGAATAGAATGAGGCATATGTGCAGAGAAGGAGCTTATAAACCGTAGACAGGAGAGGTGCAGCAGTCATAGGTGGTGTCACATTTGTTCAATGTGGAAGTAGGTCGTGCCCAAGAATTAGGCAATCGAAGAATTCCCAAGTATTAAGATCCCAAGAAGTTGCAGTGTCTGACAGGTTTGTAGATGAATGGTTCAGAGAACCGACATGTTGATAAATTAGACACATGTGCAACTCTTGGGTATCTTTATTGAGGAAATGTTTCGCCACACAGTGGCTTCATCAGTCAATACAAAGGAGAATCTTGAGGGCACGACCTACTTCCACATTGAACAAATGTGACACCACCTATGACTGCTGCACCTCTCCTGTCTACGGTTTATAAGCTCCTTCTCCGCACATATGCCTCATTCTATTCAAGATTGATGGACTGACCACATCGACTCAAGGTTGAGGGACTGATTACCTCATTCTCTTCCTGTTCTTCATGATTCTCCTTTGTATTGACTGATGTAGCCACTGTGTGGCGAAACGTTTCCTCAATGAAGATACCCAAGAGTTGCACATGTGTCTAATTTATCAACTTACGTGTTAACTTATTTACCAAGTAACTTGTTAACTTATTTACCAAGTAACTTGTTAACTTATTTATCAAGTAACTTGTTAACTTATTGACCAAGTAACTTGTTAACTTATTTACCAGGTAACTTACTTGTTAACTTATTTACCAGGTAACTTACTTGTTAACTTATTTACCAAGTAACTTGTTAACTTATTTACTAAGTAACTTCCTTATTAATGTTCTTACTTAGTCTGGATAAGGAAGATTATAAGAGCGGAGTTTCTCTGGGTTAAGTGCATCACCCAGAGGGTTAATAACCCAGGATAACCCAGTCAAGTCCTTATATCATCAAGGACTGTCATTCTTGCTTCCTTTTTTGTATGACCCTTGTGGGTTTAGCACTTAGTTATGATTATAATAATAATAATCTTGTAATAAAGTTGGTAGAATTACCGACAATATGTAAAGTAAAAGGACACAAGTGCAACTAATGTGACATTTATTGTGGCAACGTTTCGCTCTCCAGGTAATGGCTTGATAAAGCTCCTGGAGAGCGAAACGTTGCCACAATAAATGTCACATTAGTTGCACTTGTGTCCTTTTACTAATAATAATCTTGCTTCCTTTTGGAGGTCCCTGATCCTCTTTTCCAGGATGCAACCTATGCTAGTCTGCTAACATCCAGGTACCTACTTACTGCTAGGTAACGGGGAGCAGGTATAAAAAAACATGCCCAGTATTTCCTCTTGTCTGGGTATTGTATTCTTCCTGTCTGTCAACATGTTAATGCTTAATTCTCTACCTGTAATACTATTGTGTGTGTTTTTTTATGAATTTTTTGCCACTAATAACAAATACAAAGGCATAATACTAGTTAATGGTCCGAGTCAGACTGAATACAGTGGACCCCCGCATAACGATTTTAATCCGTGCAAGAGGGGTAATTGTTATGCGAAATAATCGCTATGTGAATGAATTTTCCCCATAAGAAATAATGGAAATAAAATTAATCCGTGCAAGACACCCAAAAGTATGAAAAAATTTTTTTTTTACCACATGAAATGTTAATTTTAATACACACAAACTGAAAAAGGCATGCACACTTACATGACACTTACTTTTATTGAAGATCTGGTGATGATTGATGGGATGGGAGGAGGGGAGAGAGAGTGTTAGTGTTTAGAAGGGGAATCCCCTTCCATTAAGACTTGAGGTGGCAAGTCCTTTTCTGGGGTTACTTCCCTTCTTCTTTTAATGCCACTAGGACCAGCTTCAGAGTCACTGGACTTCTTTCGCACAACATATCTGTCCATAGTGGCCTGTACCTCTCGTTCCTTTATCACTTCCCTAAAGTGTTTCACAACATTGTCAGTGTAATAATCACCAGCACGGCTTGCAATAGCTGTGTGAGGGTGATTTTCATCCATGAAGGTTTGCACTTCAAGCCACTTTGCACAGATTTCCTTTATCTTTGTAGTAGGCAACTTCTTCAATTTCTCTCTCCCCTCCTCTGAACCAGTTTCCTCAGGTCTGGCCTCTTGCTGTTGAAGTTGATCTATCAGCTCATCAGTGGTTAGTTCTTCATTGTCCTCCTCCACCAACTCTTCCACATCCTCCCCACTAACCTCCAACCCCAAGGACTTTCCCAATGCCACAATGGATTCCTCAACTGGAATAATCCTCTCAGGGTTAGCCTCAAACCCTTCAAAATCCCTTTTGTCTACACATTCTGGCCACAGTTTCTTCCAAGCAGAGTTCAAGGTCTTCTTAGTCACTCCCTCCCAAGCCTTACCTATAAGGTTTACACAATTGAGGATATTAAAGTGCTCTCTCCAAAACTCTCTTAGAGTCAGTTGAGTTTCTGAGGTCACTACAAAGCACCTTTCAAACAGAGCTTTTGTGTACAGTTTTTTGAAGTTTGCAATAACCTGCTGGTCCATGGGCTGCAGGAGAGGAGTGGTATTAGGAGGCAAAAACTTCACCTTAATGAAGCTCATGTCCCCATAAAGTCGCTCTGCCACGTCTGTAGGATGACCAGGGGCATTGTCTAACACCAGGAGGCACTTAAGGTCTAATTTCTTTTCAGTTAGGTAATCTTTCACATTGGGGGCAAATGCATGGTGTAACCAATTATAGAAAAAGTCCCTAGTGACCCATGCCTTACTGTTTGCCCTCCACAGCACACACAAATTATCCTTGAGGACATTCTTTTGCCTGAACGCTCTGGGAGTTTCAGAGTGATACACTAATAAAGGCTTAACTTTGCAATCACCACTAGCATTGGCACACATCAACAAAGTAAGCCTGTCTTTCATAGGCTTATGTCCTGGGAGTGCCTTTTCCTCCTGAGTAATGTAGGTCCTGCTTGGCATTTTCTTCCAGAACAGGCCTGTTTCATCACAATTAAACACTTGTTCAGGTTTCAGTCCTTCACTGTCTATGTACTCCTTGAATTCCTGCACATATTTTTCAGCCGCTTTGTGGTCCGAACTGGCAGCCTCACCATGCCTTATCACACTATGGATGCTACTACGCTTCTTAAATCTCTCAAACCAACCTTTGCTGGCCTTAAATTCACTCACATCATCACTAGTTGTAGGCATTTTTTTAATTAAATCCTCATGCAACTTCCTAGCCTTTTCACATATGATCGCTTGAGAGACGCTATCTCCTGCTAGCTGTTTTTCATTTATCCACACCAATAAGAGTCTCTCAACATCTTCCATCACTTGCGATCTTTGTTTCGAAAACACAGTTAAACCTTTGGCAAGAACAGCTTCCTTGATTGTCTTTCTGGTGCCCACAATAGTAGCGATGGTTGATTGGGGTTTCTTGTACAACTTGACTAGGTCGGCGATATGCACTCCACTTTCATACTTATCAATGATCTCTTTCTTTATTTCTATTGGAATTCTCACCCTTATTGGTGTACGGTTGGCACTAGAAGCTTTCTTGGGGCCCATGGTCACTTATTTTCCAGAAACAGCACCGAAAACACTGTAATAATACGAAATATTCCGAGTGTATGCTTGGATGTTACCGCGGAGGCTGGCTGGTAAACAATGGCACGGGCGGCACATGTGAGGCTGGCTGAGGGCGCACATTGGACGCGTCTCGGACGAAAATCGGTGAGCGGGTTTTTAATCGGTATGCGCGGCAAAATTTTTGCGATTAAAGTAAGCGGTATGCGGATTAATCGCTATGTGATGCCATCGTTATGCGGGGGTCCACTGTACTTGTCATGAGTTTCTTCTCCTGTGTGTGAATCACTTATGTCTTTCTGCTGGTTTTATATTTATTAATTTTTATTAGTTTCAGTTATTTTGTTTATAAACATAAAGCTTTTGAAGCTAAGAATAACAGGTTATTATATTTGATCTATTGTTTTGCAGATGTCAAATATTACGAGTCCTCAGCGATTTTCGGGGACCTTTGACCACTTCTATGATGGGCATTATGAGCCAGATATTAGCACCCAGATGAAGGTGCCCAAAAGAATACGAGTCACAGGTGTGTACTGTGTATGTATGCAAACATAATTTGTTTATTTTATTTTATTTGTGAAGCAAATCTGTTGAATGCTATGCACCATGGCAGTGTTGCTGGTCTGTTTCCTAATACCTCTTACCCATGTTTCCTAATACCTCTTACCCATGTTTCCTAATACCTCTTATTCCTGTTATATTTCCTTGACAGTTTAGGAAACCTGATCTTCAACTGGCTGCAAATAGGATGGTCCCTGGAGTCATTAACAAATATAACAGATAAAACATGAATGGTTGACTTAGTAGACTAGTTTTATGCTACATTGTTTGAAGAGTTAATTACTATCTCACCCTTATATGTCAGTGAGAGTGCTAGATTTACATATTGTATGTATGTACTTTTGTATGTATGTATGTACTTAGTACTTATCTATGTACATATAAAAAATTGAACCCCAGATGAGTTTCAGTAATGGTACTTTGTTTAATAAAATGTAAATTTCTTTAGGTGATAATGAGGATGACCCTACTGTTAACTGGGCCCGCTTCAATGGCATTAACGAGAAGTTTGAGATGACGGTTCCTGATCGCATTGTTGTGGCAGGTATGATGTCGGTCCCTGAAAGGATCATATTGGCAGGTAACATGATTTTTCACGCTTAGAATCTCGCAGAGGAGGACACCATTCTCTGGCCGTGAGAACTAGGCAGCAAGATCTTTGTTCTCTCATAACGACATGTGCGTATTGTGCACGGCTTGCCACTTGTACCACACTAAGAGGCAATTTCTCATCTGTTTAATCCCCGTTTCGTGCTCCCTGATTTAAATAATTTTTTTATGCACACACAAGGCTTAAGTGATATGGGGTACATATAGGAAAAAAGAGTGAAGTTATAGTTGTGGACAGAGCTGTTTTTTTGTTAATTTTTTTTTCTGTGATGTCCATATGTTGTGAGAATGTTAGAAATTAGTCCAAACAAAGTTATTTGAGTTGTACTGAGCAACAGTTGTGGCTATCTAGCAAAAGTTTTTGAACAGTGTGGATAAATCAGGATAGCCCTGAGCCTACAGTTGCAAGGATGGCAGTTTGGCCCCCTAGTACTCCTTACATAATTTTATTACACATTTGATCTTGGATTAATCCAGTAACTAGTACCACACAGGCTGGTTACAGACCAACCACATTGGTAAGTGATAACCTTCGAAAATAAGAATGTTTTTATTTGTCTTGAGATTATTACCTGTAGGATTTTGTTAGTAAACAGAAACACTTTTCCTTCTAATCTATATGGCTTTAGCCCTTATTTTTAATATAATGGTTAATAATAATGCAGGGTAAAAGTGTACGGTAGGGTTATAATTGAAAGAATTAGAGGTAAGACAGAATGTAGGATTGCGGATGAGCAAGGAGGTTTTAGAGTGGGTAGGGGATGTGTAGATCAGGTGTTTACATTGAAGCATATATGTGAACAGTATTTAGATAAAGATAGGGAAGTTTTTATTGCATTTATGGATTTAGAAAAGGCATATGATAGAGTGGATAGAGGAGCAATGTGGCAGATGTTGCAAGTATATGGAATAGGTGGTAAGTTATTAAATGCTGTAAAGAGTTTTTATGAGGATAGTGAGGCTCAGGTTAGGGTGTGTAGAAGAGAGGGAGACTACTTCCCGGTAAAAGTAGGTCTTAGACAGGGATGTGTAATGTCACCATGGTTGTTTAATATATTTATAGATGGGGTTGTAAAGGAAGTAAATGCTAGGGTGTTTGGGAGAGGGGTGGGATTAAATTATGGGGAATCAAATTCAAAATGGGAATTGACACAGTTACTTTTTGCTGATGATACTGTGCTTATGGGAGATTCTAAAGAAAAATTGCAAAGGTTAGTGGATGAGTTTGGGAATGTGTGTAAAGGTAGAAAGTTGAAAGTGAACATAGAAAAGAGTAAGGTGATGAGGGTGTCAAATGATTTAGATAAAGAAAAATTGGATATCAAATTGGGGAGGAGGAGTATGGAAGAAGTGAATGTTTTCAGATACTTGGGAGTTGACGTGTCGGCGGATGGATTTATGAAGGATGAGGTTAATCATAGAATTGATGAGGGAAAAAAGGTGAGTGGTGCGTTGAGGTATATGTGGAGTCAAAAAACGTTATCTATGGAGGCAAAGAAGGGAATGTATGAAAGTATAGTAGTACCAACACTCTTATATGGGTGTGAAGCTTGGGTGGTAAATGCAGCAGCGAGGAGACGGTTGGAGGCAGCGGAGATGTCCTGTTTAAGGGCAATGTGTGGTGTAAATATTATGCAGAAAATTCGGAGTGTGGAAATTAGGAGAAGGTGTGGAGTTAATAAAAGTATTAGTCAGAGGGCAGAAGAGGGGTTGTTGAGGTGGTTTGGTCATTTAGAGAGAATGGATCACAGTAGAATGACATGGAAAGCATATAAATCTATAGGGGAAGGAAGGCGGGGTAGGGGTCGTCCTTGAAAGGGTTGGAGAGAGGGGGTAAAGGAGGTTTTGTGGGTAAGGGGCTTGGACTTCCAGCAAGCGTGCGTGAGCGTGTTAGATAGGAGTGAATGGAGACGAATGGTACTTGGGACCTGACGATCTGTTGGAGTGTGAGCAGGGTAATATTTAGTGAAGGGATTCAGGGAAACCGGTTATTTTCATATAGTCGGACTTGAGTCCTGGAAATGGGAAGTACAATGCCTGCACTTTAAAGGAGGGGTTTGGGATATTGGCAGTTTGGAGGGATATGTTGTGTATCTTTATATGTTTATGCTTCTAGACTGTTGTATTCTGAGCACCTCTGCAAAAACAGTGATAATGTGCGAGTGTGGTGAAAGTGTTGAATGATGATGAAAGTATTTTCTTTTTGGGGATTTTCTTTCTTTTTTTTGGGTCACCCTGCCTCGGTGGGAGACGGCCGACTTGTTGAAAAAAAAAAAAAAAAAAAAAAAAAAAATAATTATAATAATAGTAAGTGACATTGGCTTGTACTAGTTAATCATTAGTCAGCTCTTTCCTATGGTGAATTTGAAAAATATTTGCTTTTCTTTCTCATTCACACACTTTTCCTCTCTCTCACATATTCACACTTCATCCTCCCTCCCCATGATGTCCACTTGGACATCAGTCATAAAAAACAATCAAGTTGCTTTGCACTAATATATTGTGTGATGAATGGTTTTGAAAACATGTCAGACACTGTAACACCCTGGGATCTTGGTACAAAGACTTCTTCAACGCTTGTCCAACGTTTGGACGACGACCTGCTTACACTAGTGGAAGGTCCCACTGTGATCCCGCCTCCTTCTGCTTCGGCTCACCTGACTGCAGTATATAAGCCACCTCTCTGGCCCAATGCTGTACTTCCTACAAGAGTGATGGACTGAACACAGTGATTCCAGGCTGAGGGACTGATTACCTCAAACTCCTCCTCTCCTTACCCATTTCTACTTTGTATTGGACTGATGAAGAAACTGTGTGGTGAAATGTTTCTTAATGAAAAGATTCCCATATGTTACATTAGTGTCTCAGTTTTTCAACTTGTCGGTTTTCAAAACCATTCATCACATCTGTCAGACACTGCAACATCATGGGATCTTAGTACAAAGACTTCTTCAACGCTTGTCCAATGTTTGGACGACAACCTGCTTACACTAGTGGAAGGTCCCACTGTGATCCCGCCTCCTGCTTCGGCTCACCTGACTGCAGTATAGACGCCACCTCTCTGGCCCTATGCTGTACTTCCGACAAGAGTGATGGACTGAACACATCGATTCCAGGCTGAGGGACTGATTACCTCAAACTCCTCCTCTCCTTACCCATTTCTATTTTGCATTGGATTGATGAAGCCACTGTGTGGAAAAACGTTTCTTCAATAAAGATTCCCATATGTTGCATAAGTGTCTCAGTTCTTCATCTAATACATTGAAAATGCTTTTCATGCCCTTGGAATGTAATAATGAATGGCTATTTTTGTCTTGTAACCAAATAATGCTCTAAGAATCACACACAGAAAATCTTTCAGTTGCTTTAAAGAACACATTTGAGTTTTTGTTAGCATCACACCCAGAGAAAGTGTTGTCGACTGTAGATACATGGAATCTGTGATGCTTGTCTTTTTAGGTGCTTTTGTTGTGTGTATAATTTTGCAGGAAAACCTGAGTGAAAATTTGGTGTAAGGAATATATTTTATTGCATTACCTAGTAGAGCCCTGTTAATTTGCAGTTTCCTGGTCCTGTTATGAATATTAAATCAATTTTTCTCAAATTTTTGTATAATCCATCAAAATCAATAAGCTAGTTTTCTCCTTCAAGGATACTAAACATAGTGAGTATCAGGCAAACATACTTGTTAAGATTAAGTTCTTGGGATTGAAAACCCTTTCCTTTTTTTTCACATTAACATGAAAAGATTAAATAAAAATGAATAGAAACGAGTAGTACTAGAATAATATTACTCGGTAGGACCTCTGTATCCATGAGGGATACGTTCCAAGGACCTCCTTTGTATACAAAACCGTGATTAGTAGCAAACCCTATACATAAATCCTGTGCATGCCTATTATAAAGTTTAATTGATAAATTATGCACTATAAGTGGAGAATTATCATGCAATAGAGTTTTTATTTCTTTTCAAAGGTTACAATGTGTGATTTATATTTTTATAAAATGCAAAATACAAAGAAAACCACTAACATGTCTGAGCATTTCAGGCAGTCTAATACTAATGCTTACACACTACTTAAAACTAGACATAGCATATTAACATAATGCATATACACAGTAAGGGAAGAAATCACAGTAAAATGCTTGACTACAAATGTGGAAAAAACATCAGTTCATAAACATCTGAGTGCTGTTGTGTATTTACACGATCTGTGGGGACGAACTAGTTCCTCTGAAACTGTGGTATTTTTCATGTGTTAAGTTACAACATATTGGGGATTGGTTCTACGAGTTGTGTTAGTTTCATTCTAAAATATATCGTGAATTAAAATTTTTTTCAGATTCCACTGTAATTCTTTCAGTTGTAGATTGAAATGAAATTTTATGTTTATAACTTTAAGAGCCCTGGTTCAGCAAGGTAATATTCTGCGAAATCTATTGGCATCTTGAACAAAAGTTTGTAATTTAGGGTCTTGTTTGATATACAGTGGACTCTTGACTTAAGGCTGCATTGGCTAACGCCAAAATTGGCTAACGGCTCTCTTTGGCATCAGAATATTGGCTCGACCAACGCCAAACAACTCGGCTAAGGGCTTTCGTCCCGAACGTGTCCACGCGCCCTGAGCGGGCCCAGCCACTCCAAGACTCCGTGTATAGCCAGTGTACCATTCTTTACAAGCCGTTGTGGTTGATTCCATGTGAAAATGCAATATACAGTGGACCCCCGCATAACGATCACCTCCGAATGCGACTAATTATGTAAGTGTATTTATGTAAGTGCATTTGTACGTGTATGTTTGGGGGTCTGAAATGGACTAATCTACTTCACAATATTCCTTATGGGAACAAATTCGATCAGTACTGGCACCTGAACATACTTCTGGAGTGAAAAAATATCGTTAACCGGGGGTCCACTGTATTCTGTGTTATTTCATTGTTTTTAGTGCTTGTAACTGCTAAATAAGCCACCATGGGCCCAAAGAAATCTTCTAGTGCCAACCCTGTGGTAAAAAGGGTGAGAAATACTATCGTACCATGGTCAGCTGCTGCTGCACCATCGTCAGCTGTTGCTGCACCATCATCAGCTGTACTACTTGAAGATGTGGAGAGACTGTTGTTAGTGTGGCTTAACGAGAAACGGTTACCAAGAAACAACCCCAGAGGGTTAGCCACCCACGATAACCCAAGAAAGTCAGTGCATCATCGAGGACTGTCTAACTTATTTCCATTGGGGTCCTTAACCCTTAAACGGTCCAAACGTATGTATACATTTTTTCAACATCTGAAAGTATGTAAAAAAATGTAGATCTTCTTTTTTGTTTTACATTTGAAAATGTGTAAAAAAACTTTTATCTACATTTTTTTTTGTTATATTTGAAAATATGTAAAAAAAGGTAGATCTACTTTTGTAGCACTACGAATTTGAACGTCGATTTGTTTGGACCGTTTAAGGGTTAATCTTGTCCCTCAGGATGCGTCCCACACCAGTCGACTAACACCCAGGTGAACACGTAAAAGTGCCTGGGACTAGTGCTCATATTGGTGAATTTAAGGCCAGCAAAGGTTGGTTTGAGAGATTTAAGAATCATAGTGGCATACACAGTGTGATAAGGCATGGTGAAGCTGAAAAATTCCAACCCCAACAAGTGTTCAATTGTAACAAAACAGGCCTGTTCTGGAAGAAAATGCCTAACAGGACCTACATTACTCAGGAGGAAAAGGCACTCCCAGGACGCAAGCCTATGAAAGACAGGCTAACTCTCATGTTTTGTTGTAATGCTAGTGAGGATTGCAAAGTGAAGCCTTTACTCATGTATCACTCTGAAAATCCCAGAGTGTTCAAGAAAAACAGTGTCTCATCATTCATCAATACTCTTCAATAAAGGTAATTGTCATTTTAGTATTTATTTATGTATTTATTCTGCATGTCTCATTGTTTTCTGTGTAGGGAAATGTATATTTCATGTGAATTTTTTTTTTTTTTAGTACTTTTGGCTGTCTGGAACGGATTAATTGGATTTCCATTATTTCTTAGGGGGAAAATTAATTTGGCTAAAGGCTAAATCGACTAAAGGCTAGCTCTTTGGAATGGATTAAAGGCGTTAGCAGAGGGTCCACTGTATTGATAGAATTCTCTTCTTTCAACAAACTGGTCATATCCCACCGAAGCAAGGTGGTCCAAAAAGAAAAATGAAAGTTTCTCTTTTTAAATTTTGTAATATATACAGGAGAAAGGGTTACTTGCCCCGTGCTCCTTACATTTTAGTTGCCTCTTAGGACACGCATGGCTTACAGAGGAAGAATTCTGTTCCACTTTCCCATGGCATGATAGAATTCTATATAAACTAATCTCAAAAATGCTTCATTATTTTGCAAAGAAACATTTAGGTTTCAGCTTTTCCCCAATTTTATGTTTTGTTTGCATTCATAGTTGCGATAAAATTACTTCATGTAAAAAGGGAAGAGATAGTATTTTTTCACCAATCTGTGACAGAAATAAAATATGATGAGTTTTTGCTCTTACCTGAAAAATAATGAGTGATGATGTTTCTTCTTTTTCGGGTTACCCTGCCTTGGTGGGAAATGGCTGATGTATTAATTAGGAAAATAAATAGAGACCAGTAATGAAAGTTAAGAATGTTAGCCTTTTATCTTCCTAAATCTGCATTCATGGATTTCGATAAGACATTTTCTTGAGATATGTGTAAGCATGTGTTAGATTTCCAGAATTAAAGTTGGTGTGCCTAAGTGATTGTATTATTTAATGGTGTAGTAGTTTTTTCGTTTTTTCAATGGTGGTAATATCTTTTGTGATGTCCATGGTAGGTGGGGATCAGCACATAGGTACTCGAGGAGTGCCCAGAGAGGTGGAGCTGGAGCAGTCCATCATGCCACAACCAGATCCAACACTATACAGAGTGCAGGTGAGTCTTCTTGCCATCTTCACACAAGACACCATTACCAACTGGTATTAAATCAGTTTTCATGAAATGTGGAACATATTATAGGAACTAGAGAAAAAATAAGAATTATCGTCATAAGTCATAATGATATCGCTGGTCTCGAGCAAAAGGAAATGTTGTATAGAGTTTCCTCTCCAAATTGTTAATTATTATCATCTTAAGATGATAAAATATGCATTTATGAAACAGTGCTTGCACTCTGAAGGAGGGGTGGGGATATTTGTAGTTTTGAACTCTAGTATACTGGCAAGATAGTGATGGAGTGAGTGTTGGTAAATGTGTTTCTTCTTTTTTGGGCCACCCTGCCTCTGTGGGAAATGGCCAGTGTGTAAAAAAAAAAAATTATCTCGATTATACTGTATAGAAATTAAGAGAAAAGTTTTTTAATATATACAATCAGTAACATGATTATCTTGCCACACAAGATACTAGACCAGTCGACTGGAGCATACCTGCCTTGATAAGTGAGACACTTGTACAACGTTTGAGTATCTTTATTCCGGAAACATTTTGCCAGCCAGTTGCTTCTTTGGTCGAATCCAGAGAAAGGTGGAAGAGGAGGAGTTTGAGGTAATCAGTCCCTCAGCTTGGAGTCGATGTGTTCAGTCCATCAGTCATCAAAATGAAGGAGCCACTGGCTGGCGAAACATTTCTGGAATAAAGATGCCCATATGACAAGTGTCTTAATTCATCAATTTGTCAGATTCCAAACCATTTATTCACATACCTCCCTTTCTTCAAATCAAACCTAATTGCCTCCCATTCCCTACTTGCTGTAAGACCCCTTAGAAATTTAGTGCTTTTCCATGAATATAATTTGGCCTGTCTTTCCTCAGACCCCTCCACGGACTATTACTTTGGACACCTATACTTATCCTGGTACCGAGGACGTTTCACCAGCAGCAGAGGACCGAGAGAGCAGCACTCCAGGCTCAATTCCTACTATTCTTCCTCGCAACAGTAATTCCTTCATACATCCTGTGTAAGTTGCTTTGTGCATCTGATATTATTCTTCAGACATCTTATATTATTTGTTTTAATAATACAGTTGCACTGAATTACTTTCATACATTCTGTGTAAGTTGCTTTGTGCATCTGCTGATATTTTCTTCATACATCCTACAATATAGCAATACTGTGACTGGCCAGGAATTGAACCCCTGATATTTTAGCACGCTACTCGGGAAGCCCACCATTTCTTAGAAGCATTGATGGTTAAGTGGACTAAGGTTTCTTTGAAGCATCTTAGAATTTTGTCAGGCTTCCCAAGTGGCATGCTAAAATATTGAGGGGTTTGATTCCTGGCCAGTCACAGTACATATTGTTATTTGCTTAAAATCAATTGTTCATGGATGCATTAATATCCTATATTATGTGTTTTATTAATACATTTGCACTGTATTTCCTTCATACATCCTATGTGAGTTCTTTTATACACACTTTAGATGAAAAAGATGTAGTTAAAAGGACACATACACTATATGTAATAGTTGTTCATTTGTTTGGATCAAGTGAAGAGGAGAAAGAGCTAGTTGTATTTTATTAAATAGGAATATGTGTTTGTTTGCTTTATCCCTATCACATGTGATGGTGCATAGTGCATGTTGCATCTTAACAGAAACTTTATCCTCTTAGAATTATTGTTTCTCAAATCTTTTTTTTTTTAATAAAGTAGAAGTAAGAGTTTTTTCTCAATGCATCTAAAGATTTTAGTTTTTCTAAGCTCTTACAAAAAACCCAGAATTGGCAGGTACATTTAATATATTTTTTTTTTTACCCCCTGGCTGTCTCCCACCGAGGCTGGGTGACCTGAGAAAGAAACACTTTCACCATCATTCACAGTATCACTGTCTTGCCAGAGGCATGTAGATACGACAGCTCATGTCCCCTCCAAAACAGCAAATATCTCAAACTCCTCCTTTAGAATGCAGGCATTGTAATTCCCACCTCCAGAACTCAAGTCCAACTAACCAGTTTCCCTAAATCCTTTCTCAAGATGTTACACTGCTCACACTCCAAGAGCACTTCAAGACCCAAAAACTATTTGTCTCCACTCACTCTTATCTAACATGCTCACACATGCCAGCTGTATGTTCAAACCCATTGCACACACAACCTCCTTTACCCCCTCCCTCTATCCTTTCCTAGAATGACCCCTACCCCACCTTCTCTTTATGTATGTGGTATGCTTGTGTGCCGTCACCTAGTTGTGTTTGAAAGGGTTGAGCCTCAGCTCCTGTAACATGTGATTACCTGTTTGTTGTTGCTGCAGCAATGCAGTGCTTGTGATGTTTCATTCTCATTATTATTTGCTTTTGAACTTTTTCCCTATAATATGATCAATAACAATTAAGTCACTAACATGAATGTACCTACTTATCCATACATCTTGTCCTCTCCTGGAATTGAACCCCAGTCTTACTTTTTGTGTGACGATTGCTCTAACTACTGTCTGTCTGTTCAAGAAAGATTTTGCTGCACTTATACCTCCAAAACTAGGCAGTGAGAGTGATTAATGTTTGGTATGAAGATTATTAGTGTGTGCATTGGTAATAATATTCAGTGTCTCTTTTTTCATACCTTTCATCAAACCCTTTCTCAAACTTTCCTTACATCACCTTGCATCCACCTGTTTTATATGCAGTATCTTTTTATTAGGTAGGTAGTAGGTTCGTAGACAGCAGCCGCCCAAAGAGGTACTACTGTCCTGCCAAGTGAGTGTAAAACGGAAGCCTGTAATTGTTTTACATAATGTTAGGTTTGCCGGTGTCTCTTTTCTGTCTCCTAAACATGCAGGATTTCAGGTATGTCTTGCTACTTATACTTACACTTAGGTCACACTACACATGCATGTACAAGCATATATGTACATACCCCTCTGAGTTTTCTTCTATTTTCTTACTAGTTCTTGTTCTTGTTTATTTCCTCTTATCTCCATGAGGAAGTTGAACAGAATTCTTCCTCTGTAAGCCATGTGTGTCATAAGAAGTGACTAAAATGCCAGGAGCAAGGAGCTACTAACCCCCTTCTCCTGTATGCATTACTAAAGTTAAAAAGAGAAACTTCTTGTTTTTCTTTTTGGGCCACCCTGCCTTGGTGGGATACAGCTGATTTGTTGAAAAAAGATCTTTTCATTAAGCTTTCTTCATTCTTTCTACATGGCTAAACTATCCTGAGACACTTTCCCAATTTATGAATAATATCATTTATGCCACTATACCCTTTTCTAATTTTTTGTTACTTATCTGCATAATATTCATTCTATATATACATTTGTAAATAAATACATCCTCTCCTCACCTAATGATGGAGTTCCGTTCCTGAGACCACGTCGTTAAATAAATTTGTTACTAAGTGAGGAGCATACTATAATGGTAGTGAGTTTGTGTCACCTTTGCACCATCTATAACATTTCTAGTGTATTTTTAAATGTTTATACAGTAATGTACTGTATATTGAAATAAACAGGATAGAGGAAATCAGCTATAATATACATTATTTAGGTATGAATACTGGTCAGAGAGCCTGTCGTAAGTCCGAGGCGTCGGTAAATGGGTATGTTGCTAGGTGAGGAGAGGCTGTACATGCATGAATGCACTAATTTTCTAAAATCTTGAGACTGTATAGTTTGTTTACACTTTTTCTAACATATCCTTCATATTGTTTTGCAGCGAAGATCTGGATCTTGGGTATGTTTGTGTCACAATCATCTGCTTGAGCTTGCTAGATCCATCTCTGTACATGACCCTTAATCCAAGCAACTAATACAAAGAATTGCTTGCTTGATTCCTTTAATAAAGTGTTCCATTTCCTTGTCTGAATTTTTATTAACAGCAGTGCACTCTGTTTAAGACTTCAAATGACTTAATTTAACTTCCATTTCTGTGCTTCAATTATAATAATTTGTTCTGCACATATAACCCACATTTTGGAGAGGAGACTTTAGACAGTGGGTCAGTTTGTCCTGGATTATAATGTGGTCAAAACTTGATGAATTGATATTGGTCCAGTGCAGACCAAAATGTCATTTGAAGTTTCCTTTCCAGAATGTGAGTTATTTGTGAGTAATTCCAGCCATGTTATTGTGACTCTTATTCTTCCCTCAGTCCTATGACTTTTGCATGATCTTTTATGTATGTAAAATAATTGTGCTGTTTTGGCACAATTTACATGTACTGTGCAAAACAGTATACCATAAATGCTGGTGTATAAGTTAACCCCTAAAATTTTGAGGTGTTAATTCAGGTTTAGGCCTGTATTTGCCCAATAGGTCGAACCCTCCCTCCTCCTCCTCCTCCAAAAAAAAAAAAAAAAAAGAAATTGTAAGGCAGCACCACTTTCATCAGACTGAAATTCAGAGTGTGAGTGGACTGACATGAACCATTAGAAGAATATTAAGAAATAGTACATCTTAATTTTTTCCAGCTTTAATTTTTTTATATTTTTTAGGTATTATCAGTAAAATGCAACATATTTTTATTAAAAAATGTCTGGCCAACAGAAATAAAACAGGTAAGAAGTAGCAAATAAAACAATAAAACTTGTGACTGTGGTACAAATTAGGTTACTACCATAATAGCATCGGTAGGCTAGTGGTGTCACTTACCTCCCTCAGTAATGTACTGTGGCCTTGTTTTCACCTCTGTCATGTTTCAGCAACTTTTATACTCGACTTACCCCAGCACGTACAGTGTGCATATTTTACTCATGCTCTTAGTAAATTAGGTATAAAGAATCTTAATGTTCATAACATGTTTACAGTGATAAAATTTGTCAGTATGGTTTATTAATGTAAGCAATTCCTTAGGATTTCTTACCTTAGGAATTCTGTTTCTTCATAGTATTGTTGTATAGGCCACCCTATTAATTAACTCAACCAAGATGTACAAAAATTGAGTAGCATTAGAAAGCACATGCACATTCACCATCAGTTGCTTGTTTCACCTTGGTCTGTAACCTTTCAGTGGCATGTATTTCTTCACAACATTCACTCTTAAGTGTCTGACTGCTCCACAGAAAATTTTTACTATGTCTTTTCCTTGTGACTCAAGAAATCGTCATAGCATAATTGCAAACAAACCACAGAATGGATGGGGTCTGAACCCATGGCAAGTGAGGTTTTATGATTCCCTTTCCATGGGTTCAGATACTACCATTCCATGGTTTGTTTTCCTAATGGATGATTTACTATTTGTTTTTGTATGTAGTGCCACAGAAAGCTCCTCAGTTACTGATAAGATTTTCAGGTATGATTAATGGGGAAGCAGGTCATTTTTAATTAATACTTTTTATGGTAACATGATACTATGTAAACTATTCACAACTAACCCACATTTTGGAGAGAAAACAGCATATTGGTCTTTTCTGAATCATTACTGAAGAAGAATCAAAATTTCATATGAAGTTTCAAGTCCAAATTGTGAATTAGCAGTGAATGATTGCTGCCACAGTACAGCTTCTCCTCACTTAACGACGGAGTTCCATTCCTAAGACCACATTGTTAAATGAATTCCTCACTAAGTGAGGAGCATACTATAATGGTAGTGGGTTTGTATCAACCATCTTTGATATTGTCTTAATGTTACCTTTGCACTATTTATAACATTTCTAGAGTATTTTTAAATGTTTATACAGTAGTGTACTGTATATTGATATAAACAGAATAGAGGAAATCAGCTCTAATATACATTATTTAGATATAAATACTGGTCAGAGAGCCCGTCGTAAGTCCAAGGCACCAGTAAACGGGTGTGTTGTTAAGTGAGGAGAGGCTGTGTTATGACTTACATTCTACATAGGGCACGAAAGTTACTGGCGCTGTAATTTATTATTCTGTTTATTACATTAATACGTACATATATTTATAGTGAGAGCTCCTTCATGTGTGGTGCCTTGATGCTGGTGAAGTGCTCTTTGTCTGAGGAATTGGAGCTAGTCTTCCATCCTTGAAACAAACTTGATTACTGTACTTCTCATTCCCCAAGTACTGTATGACTCCCACAGATTTAGTTCCTTCCCGTGAATCTAACGATGATTATAATAATAACAGTAATTAATTTAGTAAGGGTATTCTTCATAAAGTTTTTTTTTTTTTTTTTTTTTTTAACAAGTCGGCCGTCGCCCACCGAGGCAGGGTGACCCAAAAAGAAAGAAAATCCCCAAAAAGAAAATACTATCATCATCATTCAACACTTTCACCTCACTCACACATAATCACTGTTTTTGCAGAGGTGCCCAGAATACAACAGTTTAGAAGTACACCTACCATCCGACTTACGACCTGCTCGACTTACGACTACTCGACTTACGACCGTGTTTTTTATGCCAAATTTCTGAGAAATAAACAACTACACCTGCCATCCGACTTATGACCTGCTCGACTTACGACCACTCGACTTACGACTGTGTTTTTTATACCAAATTTCTGGGAAATAAACAACTATTTGTGTTGTACACAGTGTTTATCCTAAACCTTACAGTATAAAATACAGTACTAACAACATAAAAAGTAAAGTAAAACATGAAATACCAAAATAAAACAATAAAATAAAGTCATTACAAAAATGTTTTGTTGATATTCTGTAGTAAAGTACGACTTACGACCGGTTTCTCGGAACCGAACTCGGTCGTAAGTCGGATGGTAGGTGTACGTACATATAAAAATACACAATATATCCCTCCAAACTGCCAATATCTCAAACCCCTCCTTTAGAGTGCAGGCATTGTACTTCCCATTTCCAAGACTCAAGTCCGGTTATATAAAATAACTGGTTTCCCTGAATCCCTTCACTAAATATTACCCTGCTCACACTCCAACAGCTCGTCAGGTCCCAAATACCTTTGTCTCCATTCACTCCTATCTAACACGCTCACACACGCTTGCTGGAAGTCCAAACCCCTCACCCACAACACCTCCTTTACCCCCTCCCTCCAACCTTTTCGAAGACGACCCCTACCCCGCCTTCCTTCCCCTACAGATTTATACGCTCTCCATGTCATTCTACTTTGATCCATTCTCTCTATATGACCAAACCACCTCAACAAACCCTCTTCAGCCCTCTGACTAATACTTTTATTAACTCCACACCTCCTAATTTCCACAATCCGAATTTTCTGCATAATATTTACACCACACATTGCCCTTAGACAGGACGTCTCCACTGCCTCCAACCGCCTCCTCGTTGCAGCATTTACAACCCAAGCTTCGCACCTATATAAGAGTGTTGGTACTACTATACTGTCATACATTCCCTTCTTTGCCTCCATAGATAACATTTTTTGCCTCCACATATACCTCAACGCACCACTCACCTTTTTTCCTTCATCAATTCTATGATTAACCTCATCCTTCATAAATCCATCCACTGACATGTCAACTCCCAAATATCTGAAAACATTCACTTCTTCCATACCTTCTCCCCAATTTGATATCCAATTTTTCTTTATCTAAATCATTTGATACTCTCATCACCTTACTCTTTTTTATGTTCTTTTTTAACTTTCTACCTTTACACACACTCCCAAATTTGTCCACTAACCTTTGCAGTTTTTCTTTAGAATATCCCATAAGCACAGTATCATCAGCAAAAAGTAACTGTGTCACTTCCCATTTTGTATTTAATTCCCCATAATTTAATCCTACCCTTCTCCCGAACACCCTAGCATTTACTTCTTTTACAACCCCATCTATAAATATATTAAACAACCATGGTGACATTACACATCCCTGTCTAAGACCTACTTTTACTGGGAAATAGACTCCCTCTGTTTACACACCCTAACCTGAGCCTCACTATCCTTATAAAAACTCTTTACAGCATTTAGTAACGTACCACCTATTCTATATACTTGCAACATCTGCCACATTGCTTCCCTATCCACTCTATCATCTGCCGTTTCTAAATTCATAAATGCAATAAAAACTTCCCTACCTTTATCTAAATACTGCTTACGTACATGCTTCATTGTAAACATTTGATCTACACATCCCCTACCCACTCTAAAACCTCCTTGCTCATCCGCAATTCTACATTCTGCCTAACCTCTAATTCTTTCAATAATAACCCTACTGTACACTTCCTGGTATACTCAGTAAACTTATTCCTCTATAATTTTTACAATCTCTTTTGTCCCCCTTCCCTTTATATAAAGGGACTGTACACACTCTCCGCCAATCCTTAGGTACCTTCCCCTCTTTCATACATTTATTAAACAAAAATACCAACCATTCCAACACTATGTCCTCCCCTGCTTTTAACATTTCTGTCATGATCCCGTCAGTTCCAGCTGCTTTACCCCCTTTCATTCTACGTAATGTGTTACTTATTCTTTAGGATGGTCATGTGGTTCAATAATTTTGTGATGGAAGATTTTACATTGTAGATATTGTAGAATAATGATGCATGTTGGATAGTATGTTATGATGTGGCTTTGAAGTTGCACCAAGTGTAGTTGTGTATATAGATTTTTATCTGTAACCTTAAATATGTGTTTCTTGTTGAGGTCTATATCCACATCCTTTAGTGGTCTTAGTTTTTTATGTAGTTTCTTTCTTTAATATCACAGGCCAGAGAAGAGCTCAGGCTACATGTTTCATGTTACAGAGGGGTAAGTATGCTGTAATGTGTGTTTTGTAATGTGTTAGTTGCTTGTACAGTAGAGATATTGTTTAGAAGTTGTAGTAAACTAATGGAAAACTATAAATGTGTTCATTTGATTTGTAAGAAATTATATTTGACCTGTCTAAATTGTTTTTGTTCAGGCATGATAGTGGCACACCAGGAATCACTACAGACCTGAGCCCAAGTGAAGAAGTGTCTCTACTGAGACGGCAAGTTGGGCGCCTCAACCGTCGGGTAATGGCTCTCGAATTGGATACTCAGCAACGTGCCAATCGAGAAATGATTATGTATACTCTCGGTGTCGCTTACTTCCTCATTAAGGCCTTGTTATGGTTGAACAGAAACTGAACAGAGAGCAGAAGATTTGATATTATGGTAATTAAATTGTTAGGACTTATTAATTTGGTGTTACTCACTGTTGAAAGTTTGCTGTTTTCTCTTGGGTAAACTCAGAGCCATGTTATTATTAGGCCTGTGTGCAACGGCAGGGAACAGCTATCACTTCTTCACTAGTCAGAAACACTTATTTATTCCTTTTTGTATATTGAAATAATTTTAGTAAATTAAAATGAGAGTTACCAGATAACTTGTATGAACAGACATGTTATTGTTGTATATTTCCTATACTGTATAAACTTTAGATTTATGTAAAAAATTGGCTAAATCTTTGCCAGAATTTCAGGTGCAGATTTGTTAAGAAAATTGAGAAATTCTGAATGGTTTTTGTTGTAACAGAAACCAGCTTATTGATGCCTAAAGCTTGAAGATTAACATAAGCAAATGTAATCCAAAGAGTTGCAAAAGTAGTTATTGTATACAGTGAGGCAAACAAGCATTTTGTGGTTGTAGTTTGTGATGCACACTGCTGAAGCCGACTCGATTTATAATCCTTAATGAAAAAAAAGGAAGTTTGCTGAGTGCTAAATAAAGACATCTCTGTAATATATATATATGTATGTTAGTGTGCTAATGTTGTTTGCGATTATGTATACTGTACAAGCAGTCTTCGTTTGAGTGTGTTTGTATCAAGCATAATTTGAAGTCAAATGTGAAATTGAATTGCAGATTGTTTTGATGTTGGGTAACTTTTTATATAATATGGGATCATTCACAATTCAGGTTCATGCTATAGATTGATAAGGTACTCCCCTACCATCTACTAATGCCACTTTTGTGATTATGGCAAACCACGATTTTGTTTTTACATTTTTAAGGGCTAAGACCTGATATTGTATTGTACATCAGCTCGCTTTGAAACAGAGCCCTGGCATTGGTGTATTCCTTTAGCTATATGGCCAGTTATTCACTGCTTGGTTCATGGATTTTTAGCTAGTGTACAGTATTATGACATTATTCACACAGTTGGCTCCCAGAACCACTAACTAGCAATACAGTATTATGCTATGAGCTGGATTTGCAGATCCCTGACTCGTATGTGGTATGCTGTTATCTGTTAGTTTGGCTCCCTGATCCATGACTTGTGCATAATTACATATATCGGTTAGAAGACCTGTTTGTATTGAAACTGACCAAAATATCATGAAATGTACTGTTAATGGGTACAGGGGTCCAGAATGCATCTCCCCTTTACCCATTGAAGTAAACTTCAGTGTTCATGAATTCACCTAGAAGCTCCTTGTGGAGCTCATCACTTATGGATGCTAAAGGAATACAATTCTTTGTATAATTTTTATACTATACGTGGATTTTGCACACTCCCACTAGTGTAATTACCTTTTGTATTTGGGACCAATATTGGCATGGAATTTGGTCTTTTCACTTCAGTAAATAATTACAATAAATACTTCATATACAGTGCCATTGTTACACCCTAAACATCCACTTTGAAGGGACACAACATTTGTATTTTAATATGGCTGTAGTGTAGAGGTCATCTGATAGGTTTGGGTAATAACAACAATTTACAAAGGATAAGTAAGATCAGATGACTGGTTAATTTTTCAACTTTAGCAAAATAATTGAAACAGAACAGTGTGCCACTATGTAGAAATTTTAGTACTGTATTGTGATTTTTGTATTGTTTATTATTATTTTTATTATTATTGGTATTACTATTAATACCTATACTTTTTATTTGTTATGGTTATTATTATTTTTATTGCAAAACATAATAAACATCTGTACAAGTATTGCAGTGCATTATGTAACCTTATTGTTGACAACAAAAATTACTTTTTGTATATCATCAAGTTATTCTTGATTAGTTTAAAAAAGTACCCAAACCAAAGATCTGTAAACATGTTTCTGGCTGTAATTCAAAACACACATGGAGGTAAAAATGAAACAGTCTAGGAGGGCTGTATATATTTCATTTACCACTTAAGTTATGATTATGATAATGTATATATTTCAGCAATCTTTCTTCTTTCAACTCAGTGTGTGGTGTAAATATTATGCAGAGAATTCATAGTGTGGAAATTAGGAGGGGGTGTGGAGTTACTAAAAGTATTAGTCAGAGGGCTGAAGAGGGGTTGTTGAGATGGTTTGGTCATTTAGAGAGAAAGAAACAAAGTAGAATGTTCTGTAGATCATATAAATCTGTAGGGGGAAGGAAGACTGGGTACGGGTTGTCCTCGAAAAGATTGGAGGGAGGGGGTAAAGGAGGTTTTGTGGGCAAGGGGCTTGGACTTCCAGCAAGTATGTGTGAGCGTATTAGATAGGAGTGAATGGAGACGAATGGTTTTTGGGACCTGACAAGCTATTGGAATGTGAGCAGGGTAATATTTTGTGAAGGGATTCAGGGAAACCAGTAAGCCAGGCTTGAGTCCTGGAAATGGGAAGTACAATACCTCCACTTTAAGGAGGGGTTTGAGATATTAGCAGTTTGGAGGTTGACTTTTAAACTGTCATATCTGAGTGCCTCTGCAAAGACAGTGATTATGTATGAGTGAGGTGAAAGTGGTGAATGATGAAAGTATTTTCTTTTTTGGGGATGTCTTTTCTTTTTGGGTCACCCTGCCTTGGTGGGAGACAACCGACATGTTAAAAAAAATATATGTACATGTGTATATGTGGAATAATCATGAACCAGTGATAAAATATGAAAAGTAACCACAGGGGAAGTTGAATGTTAGTTCTAGGCCTTTCGTGTTACAACCAACAAATCAGGAACTTGCTATGTTGCAGAAATAGAGTATACATGTTGGTAGATTACCGACAATATGTAAAGTAAAAGGACACAAGTGCAACTAATGTGACATTTTATTGTGGCAACGTTTCGCTTGACAGCTCCTGGAGAGCGAAACGTTGCCACAATAAAATGTCGCATTAGTTGCACTTGTGTCCTTTTACTTTACAGAAATAGAGTAGGAAATCCAGGAAGGTTTGTTCATGTGAATGGCTCTCCCAAGAATCCTTGGAAGAACCATTCACATGAACGGACCTTCCTGAATTTCCATAGTGCTGTATGACCCTGGTGGGTTTAGTGCTTGGTTTTGGTTATAATAATCCTGGATTTCCTACTGTACTTCTGCAACACTGCAAGCTCCTGATGATATGTTGATTGCAACATGAAAGGCCTAGAACTAACATTCAACTCCTCCCTGTAGTTGTTTTTCCATATAAACAAAGTTTAACAATAATAATAATCATTATTTAGGGTTGCTACATTTAGAGAGAATGGATCACAGTAGAATGACATGGAAAGCATATAAATCTATAGGGGAAGGAAGGCGGGGTAGGGGTCGTCCTCGAAAGGGTTGGAGAGAGGGGGTAAAGGAGGTTTTGTGGGTAAGGGGCTTGGACTTCCAGCAAGCGTGCGTGAGCGTGTTAGATAGGAGTGAATGGAGACGAATGGTACTTGGGACCTGACGATCTGTTGGAGTGTGAGCAGGGTAATATTTAGTGAAGGGATTCAGGGAAACCGGTTATTTTCATATAGTCGGACTTGAGTCCTGGAAATGGGAAGTACAATGCCTGCACTTTAAAGGAGGGGTTTGGGATATTGGCAGTTTGGAGGGATATGTTGTGTATCTTTATATGTTTATGCTTCTAGACTGTTGTATTCTGAGCACCTCTGCAAAAACAGTGATAATGTGCGAGTGTGGTGAAAGTGTTGAATGATGATGAAAGTATTTTCTTTTTGGGGATTTTCTTTCTTTTTTGGGTCACCCTGCCTCGGTGGGAGACGGCCGACTTGTTGAAAAAAAAAAAAAAAAAAAAAACATAATATTTTATGTACACATCATAAATGGTTATAACTATGGCCATAATTTTTAAAGGGGTGGACTGGTAAGCCAGCGGGAGGCCTCAGTCAGATGATCAAAAGCTCCAGTGGCGGGTCGTCGTCATCATCATGTCCTATTTCCCGATGAACGTAACCTAACCTAACCTTACTTAACCTAACCTAACCTAACATGCATTCATACAATGACTACAATAAATACATGCATGATTATGGTAGATATTAGTATAACTTGAGCAGAATACAGGTGCCGTATAATCCCTATGGGTTTAGTGCTCTCTGTGATAAAAAATAATTTAACCTAGAATTGCTTAGTTATGATTATACTAATAATAATTTAAGCTAGACTAACCCAACAAAGTTAGTTTTGATGATAACACCAAGAAGTGTATAAACACCAAGAAGTATATATACACCAAGAAGTATATATACACCAAGAAGTGTAGTATACACACCAGGAGGTGTATATATCTCAGTGAGTATACTTTAATCACTATTTTAGGCATTAAAGTGTAGTTCTCAGTCTCGTGGCAGATGTCACATGCTGGGTTAATAACCTTCGTTTAGTCGATAAGTTTCAAACCCAGTTAGCCAAGCACAATAAGTGTCAGGGGTCCAAGACTGTTCAACTGCCTCCCAGCATATATAAGGGGGATTGAAAATAGACCCCTGGCTGTCTTCAAGAGGGAACTGGACAGATATCTTAAGGCAGTACCTGACTAGCCAGGCTGTGGTTCGTAAGTCTCAGCGCTGTATAACTCTGGTGGGTTTAGAGCTTAGTTTTGATAATAATAATCTAGCTCGTATGTCGGTTTTCTTGCGGCCAGCAGTACCAGCCTGGTTGATCAGGCCCTGATCCACCGAAAGACCTGGTCATGGACCTGGCCACGGAATGCCCTCCAGGTATACTCCAGGTAATCTATGTGATGTATTTTTATAAACTTTTGATCCAAGGAATTGGCGCTAGCCTCCACTATCTCAGATCGGACCTGAATACCTCCCGTTCCTCAGATGCTGTGTGACCTCTACGGGTTTAGCGTTCATCATGAATTTACGCTATGTAATAATAATTATGGACATCTATACACATTACACACACTGAAGTGTACTCGCCTACTCGCATTTGAAGGGGTCGATTCACAGCTCCTGGCCCCAATGTGTGTGTGTGTGCGTATCTCAGTCTACACACACGTGTGTATCTGTATATACATTGAAATTGGTATAACTCTACGTCTATATACATTCATTATTTGTATTTAGCAGGTTTTATATTTATCTTATATAACAACATTATCTAAAATTACATTAGTGTAATTTTTATTTACAAAGGTACATTCTGATCTATATGGTATTTTAATTCCTTTCTCTGTTTTCACACAACAAGACTTTGGAGAGAGAACTTTAGATGACGTTTCTGCCTTGAACCTTTCTCATAGGACGATAATGGACTAGAATGGACCGAAACGCCGTGTTGAATTTCCTCTCCTAAATTTTCGTTATTCGTGAACTGTTTCTGAAACCTTTTTTGTGGTTTTCATTCTGTCTAAATTCCTTCACCTTTTTCTTTTTACCTTTTCAGTATCGTGTTGAATTTATTCACGATTTGTTCACCATTTCACTGTATAAAGAATTTTCAGAGTCATGGCGAGTCAGATTGCACGTTTCTTCCATTTTCTCCTGTATCTTCTCAGTTAAGGATTTGTGATCGGCCTCTTTTTCCCCTTTCATTTCCCCTTGCATCTTTCCCGCTGTCATTTCCCCTTGCATCTTTTCCACTTTCATTTCCACCTGCATCTTTTCCTTATCGAGCTGTTGCTTAAGCATTGAGATATCCAAGTAGTCGTAGTCATGTTCACCATCGTCATTATCACTTTCATGAAGGTCGTGATCGGCGTCACCCAACGACCCAGAGCTCTTGGAAAACATGGACTCCGGTGTTTGTATGGGTGGAGGAGGCGGTGACGAGGGCACTTGTAGAGTCTTCCTCATAGAATCCTCTTTCTGTGGCTGTAGTTTACTTCTTGTAGAGTCCTCCATGTCCGGATGGATCTCCGAGCTCTTGGTTAACATGGGATCCTGTGTGTCTGCTTGCAGTGGGTGTATAGATGAAATTCGATGAGTAAGCATCCTCAGTGGCTCTTGCTCCTCGGAGACAGAGAGGGTCGTGGAGGTGAGATTAGGACGGCCGTTCGGCATGCTGGTGGGCTTCGAGATTGGGCCCATGGAGTGGCGAGAGGTGGTGCTGTAGAGACGTTGGGGTTCAGTGCTCGCAGATGTGTCAGAAGTGATAGAGAATTGACAGTGCTTTACAAAGTTACTCTTCTTGGTGTTATTCACTAGGCTGGCTTCTTTTACTATATAAAAGTAAACTGTCACAGCAACTCCAGCAAGGATTACCAGGATGAGAATGAGGAATATTATGGTGATGGCTATTCCAAAGCCCTTCCAGAAATCTTTATCTTCATCCTCGGGCTCTGCAATATTGGAAAGGGAATTACAAAATGCTCAACTAGAATTCGTAAGAGATTCCTCAGTTACCTTGATGCTGGTGACGATCTCTTGATGTGAGGAATCAGAACTACTGAAACAAGCTAGATTATCTCCCATTTCCTAGGTGCTATATGACCCCCAATGGGTTTTCGCCACTCCCCAGAAATACAATAACATAAAGGAGAAAGATGAAAATAAAATATCTGCGAAATTTTTTTTGCAGACAAATATGCTATGAATTCTGCACATAAATAAAGCAATAGTACCAATATTTATACCTAGGTAGGGGTCACAGTCCAGCATCCACTGCATGTTGGTGAAAGTCACATTCAACTCAAGTGCAGAGTTTGTCTCGAATATCACCGTCTTTGTACCAATGTGGACGCCAGTTAAGTTCTGGCGAGTATTCTGTAAAAATGACTCTTATAACTTACACGTGTTTTTCGGTTGTTTTCTTTTAATAAAGAAATAACAATAAGAATAAAAAATACCACTACTACAGTACTACAGCAAATACTAGCACTAAAATACTACTACAACAATAAATACTTCTATAATTAAAGTATTACTAAGAAGAATATTCGTGACGTCGGTGAGGGATTTATGAAATTAAAACCATCCTCTCATTCCATAGATCAAACCTCGTTGCCTCCCATTACTCCTCTTTCTTTTTCTAAAAAAAAAAAAAAAGAGAGAAAGGATTTTTTTATTATTGATTGGCCTCCTGCTGGCTGTCATGCAGCCTTCATCTATCAAAAACACATTTCTACATTATTTGCCTGAGATTAAGACACATTTGCAACATCTGGGTATCTTTATTGTAGACGTTTCGCCATCCAGTGGCTTTATCAATACGAAACGTCTACAATAAAGATACCCAGATGTTGCAAATGTGTCTTAATCTCATTTTGTCGGTATTGTATACCATTCGTACACATTATTTGCCTGCTTGCTGTAATTCTAAGCCAGCAGCAATGCTGAGCAGGTTATGCTCTATAACAATTTAGATTTAGAATTTATTTCCAATCGCTGCCTTTATAAAGTAAACAATCAGGAAGGCCATAGAATGCGCAGCATATCTATCATGCAAGCCCTAATCCACCACGAGGCCCGGTCCATGACCGGGCCTCGGGGGCGTTGACCCCCAGAATACCGTTCATGTATACTCCAGGTATACCCATCCTGTGGGTAGTAGTCAAAAGACTACAAAGGTACGTAATGGGTCCAGAGACTGGGTCTCAAAGTTCTGATAGCCGAGCAAATCACAGTGGTTTGCCTGGAGTTTACCTGGAGAGAGCTTCGGGGGTCAACGCCCCCGCGGCTTGGTCTGAGACCAGTCTTCGTGGTGGATCAGGATCTGATCAACCATTAAGAATAACAAGTTAACATCGAAGTTAACTTACGTTTTTATAAATGTTGGTGAAAATGACCAAACGTTCCCAGCAGTCTCCGATGTCAGCTGCTGTGAATGTTACAAGTGCAGCTGTTGTGTTAACAGCGTCATAGAATCGCAGAGTAGCATTGGCGTCCATGGAGGTCCTCCTGATGTAAACTGATTTAGTTGTATTGTCTATGGATATCTTGTAGTCTGAGACGGTGTCACATCCTTTAGAGAAATAAAATTGCTATTACTGTTAGTAACGGCTTGACAAAGCTCCTGGAGAGCGAAACGTTGCCTCAATCAAATGTCACATTACTTGCACTTGTGTCCTTTTATCTGAGTTATTAGTTGGTAAGACACATAGGCAACATTTAGGCAGATGCTTCGCCTTCACAGTAGGCTTCTTAAGTCGAGTACAGAAAGTAGGTAGGAGCAGTAGAGACGTCAAGACGATGTAATCAGTCCATCCCCCTTGAAGACGTAGATTTTGAGGCTGTGGGACTGATAACCTCAAAATCGACATCTTCAAGGGTGGTGGACTGATTACATCGTCTTCACATCTCTACTGCTCCTGCCTACTTTCTGTACTCGACTGACGAAGCCTACTGTGCAGGCGAAGAGTTTCAGAATAAATTTGCCTAAATGTTGCCTATGTGTCTTACCAACTTATCGGTATTGTATACCATTTTGATTTCTGTGATTTGCTAAGCTCGTGAGGGAGGTCACCCAACTTACGGAGTGATGGAGGCTTGATCCTCCGTTTACTAACATTGACACAGAAATTCTACTCTCTCTTATTGACTTAGCAAACTGTAAATTTGCTACCTGTCGCTGTTAAGGGAAAAATAGATATGAAATTTGTCGCGGGGTATAAAACAGAAGGCATACACTATGGCTGTTACTTGATTGTTTTCCTTATAGACGTCACAGAAAATGGGTAAATCCAGGAAACACATAAAATAAACATAACCAAACCTAATCTAACCTCAATAACATAATATACATCTCGAAATTTGCTTAGAACCGTGTTTATAAGAGCGAGATTTTTCTCTCTATTTTTGTAATAAAGTTGGAAGAATTACCGAATACAATTAAACAAAACAACGGCAGCTTCACCATCTCCGAAGTCTTAGCAAGAATCCTCCTGGAAACAGTAAACCCTGCCATCACATAGTCTCTCCTGTTATACTACACAAAGCACAGAGAGTGAACACTGAAACAACCTGCCTCTTTCCAGTCTATATTTGTCCAACCTATTTTTATGTTACCCAAGTAATAGCTTTTATATCCTTTTACTCATGTACGAATTAATTGCTCTACCATATTGTATTACTTTTGTCACTACCACTACTACTACTACTACTACTACTACCACTAGTGAACATCGAAATGGTACCTCACTAGTATTCACCTCACTCTGAGCCTTTATATACCCTCTGTGTCCATGTATTGTTTGTAATGGCTTGATAAAGCTCCTGGAGAGCGAAACGTTGCCACAATAAAATGTCACATTAGTTGCACTTATGTCCTTTTACTCTCTATTTTTGACAGAGGTGTGTCACTCCTGCGTCAACAACTAGATTTTAGAAGTAATTAAAGATCATGGCGAGTTATTTTACATTTTTTACAGATTCTCAGTTCCTCCTCTCAGGAATGTGTAAAACATGAGACTGGGGCTGAGAGTAACTATCGTGAACATTTAAAGGTATATACAAAGAACACAACGACACAAAACCGTGACTGGAGCATTACACAAATAACCCGCATAAGTCGGTCCGACTTGTGGCCATTTGCAAAGTCACACATTGTGACTTTGTAAATGGTCGAAGTCGGAGCGAAATGTCGTGGTAAGATTCAAATTCAAATTCAAAGTTTATTCCCTAGAAGGATTGCAATACTGAGTTTACAGAATTTGGGTATTGTGTGGTTTACTTGTAGTAAAATAATAATTGTTAGGTAAGACACATATGCAACAGTTAGGTATCTTTATTATGAAACGTTTCGCCTACACAGTAGGCGTTTCATAATAAAGATACCTAACTGTTGCATATGTGTCTTACCTAACAACCTGTCGGTATTTTATACCATTTTAATGTTCAAAATAATAATTACAGAGTGTACCACTAGAACACCTAGCATGGCTAGGCATTTCGGGCAGACTTAGTTTAAATCTTAAATTTAAAATATTACAAAGTATGAGGTAAGTTAGTATTATGGCTAAGTGACTAAATACTAGTTTGTGAGTTTAGCAATGTGAATGCTTTTGTTTTGGCACAGTACATAGTTTCAGTATTGGAGTATCACAGGCCAACTTATGACTAGTTAAGATTCATTATTTTAAGATTGAGATTAATATTTCTGTTTATGGTCAAATGGGTGAGTGAGTGTAAGTGTGAACCACCAGGTGGTATTCGTATAGTTAGTTGACGGGGTGTATCAGGGAGATAAGATGTTTTCTAATGGTAGTTTTGAAGGTGATGAATGTGTCTGCAGTTCTAGAGTTCTCAGGTAGGGTGTTCCAGATTTTAGGGCCTTTGACATACATTGAATTTTTGTAAAGGTTTAGTCGGACACGGGGAATGTCGTAGAGATGTTTGTGTCTGGTGTTATGCCTGTGGGTTCTGTCACAACTATCAAGAAAGCGTTTTAGGTCATACGTGCGGGATGTGTATAATTAGCACATAGAAGGAAACTTATGGCGACATTTCGGTCAGACTTGGACCATTTAAAGTTATCTTTGCAAAACTAGCCACAGCACAGCCACAGCACAGCCACAGCACCACCACAGCACCACCACAGCACCACCACTAACTTTTCTTAAGGGCGACTCCACTGCCAA